AAAAAAAAAAGCAGCTTAATTTAGAATGTTTCATTATGAAACAATTTCAAAAGCATTCAAGAATAAAAACTTGACTAAAGCTTAAAAAATATTTTTTAAATATGACATGCTTAAACATGACATGCTTTCCATATGACTTGTTGTAAACTTTAGCATTTGAAGAATCGTACCAAATATTCTGTCATTCTTTCCGAAAATCAAATCTTAGAACTCAAGGTACAGTATATAATTATGTTATTCTAGCACAAGTGTGGTGGTAGGTATCCTAAAGAGACTTTCAAGTCCTGTCATTAAGTACAAAGTTTGTTCTAACTTTAGTTTGCTTTATTAGAAATGAGAAGAAAATAACAGATGAGTGCAGGCTCTCACAGGAAACCATATGATACACTAACACATAGCTAAAATCATTAAGATTTAAGTGTTGAATACTCACAGGACAAGGAGACTGAAGAAACATTGTAACCTTCTCATCTTCCAGCATCAACTGTAAAAATAATCTTCGTACAAATCCTGAAATGTTTCCAGATGTTGGAAGGTTACTCCTTTGAGGAGCTGTCTGAAATAGGTCACAGAGAACCTGGCAAGGCAAAAGATTTACAAAGTTAAATGCAAGATTTATTCCTAGCTTTTTTGGAGGGCAGTACTGGGCTTTGAACTCAATGCCTCGAGCTTGCCAGGTAAGCTCTCTACCACTTGAGTCATGTAGCTTTTTGTTCTCGATTATAAACAAGGAAAGTAAGAATGTAGATTAACAAGTATATTTTAACACATCAATTGCAACTAAAGGAATTATTTTATCTTAAAATATACGAAAACAGAAGCAGATATACATTTAAAAGTGTAAGAAAGATTTCTGTGGGTAAGAATGACTACACCTGGCAAAACTGATTTATTTTTACCTTTAGTCAAAATCAATGTTGTTACAATATAATACAATTAATTAACTTTAAATGCATATTGAAAATATGCCTTAGTAAGAAACAGAGATGATAATTAGGTCAGAAAGCAACAGGGCACAAACATTTTAGGATACTCAAAAAACAAATAAAATTTTCAAACGTCCATAATCATGCCCTTCAATGACGTTGGTATTTTAAGCATTTTCTTTTACTTAGCCACGTTCAGCGGAGAGGAATTTCCCTAATAATCAATTAACACAAGCAGTACAATGTCTTGCTCAACCTCTTAATAAAGTTAAACCATTCAGTATTTCCAAAAAACTTTGATTTCTCTCCTTCTACATAATAAAGTTCAACCTAAACAAGCACTATTAAGAGAGGAAAGTAAGTTGACAACTATTCACTAGTGCTTCCCTATCTCAGGAGAAGCTCTATGCTACCTACTTTATACAGACTATAATATTTAATCCTGTCAAAAGAATCTTTGAGGCAGGAATGAATTACTAGACACATTTTATATGTTAAACAACTTCCCCAAGATCACAAAAGAAAGAAAGGTACAGAATTTGGAGAACAACAATAATTACTCTTGAAATAATTCTAGCTTACAAGATTTTTGGCCATGTAAGCTTAACAACTCATTTTTTCACATCCAGAGCCTCCTATGAAAAACCTATTGCAATGTCTGTGGAATGTGAAGAAAACCAACAAACTAACAGTTATAGCAATCCGATTATACCAAAATACAATAGCTAAATTCAAATTATCTCACAAATGACCATTGTCAAGTGATTGATCCAGTTCTAGCAGCTAAAAAATATTTTTTGGTTGCTTTTTATGATATAGGAGGTTGAACTTGCTGGCTGGGCAGGCACTCTACCAGTTTTAAAATAGTATTGTGTTGAGCTTGTTCTCTTAAAGCAGTGCGTTCATGTCAGCTTTAAGAGTATGTGATTTTAGAGACCATTTATATTGAGGGAGGAGATATTACAACGTGAATTATGGTATAAATTCAGATCTTAAATGCACTTACTCCCAAACTTTATCATTTCCCTGAGTGCAATATGACATCAGACTTTAAAAATTAGGCACCTAAAACCTAAGATAGTTTTTCTTATTACCTGTGCCATCAGCTTTTGATTATTAGGGTGGCATGAAATGCACTGCAAAAAGAATGCAACCGTTGCATTCTCAATTGCTGTCCGCTGTAGAGTAGTCAGTCCTGTCGACGCAGCTGAAGAAAGAGAAGCTGATCTTGAACTGGTCTGTTGTGCACCTAAAGTTTGTGCTCCGGAAGTGGATGCAGAGTGACACAATAAAAACAGAAGTGCTGTCCATAGTGGATTGACTTCAGAACCACCCAGCCAATCCTTCATAATGTGGCTATTGCCAACTTCTGTCAAAAATCTAAGGACGGGAGCAACTAGGTCTGCTGTGATAGGCATCTTATTACAATGCTGTGGGGCATGATGCCGCCTGAGCTTGTCCTGGGAAATATCAATTGACTGAGCAGTACTTTCTGAATACGAAATGTGGCTAAAGCAAAAACTGGCCAGACTCCGCACAAGAAGAGAAGGCAAACCTGAGTCTAGTAGTTGTTTGATAGCTTCTGGAGACTGAGAAGAGGAAGCAAGGGTTGCCAGATGTGACTCAGTTAGTGTAAGAGGGGCCTGTGCATTTTTAGAGTCATCCGTTAAAGACGAACTAAGATCCTGTTTTTTGCTATCATCTGTCATGGACAGTCTGTGGTGACACTGCACTGGAGGAGGGGTAATTCCCATCCAGCCCATGAGCAAGGAAAAATAATTTGGATGGATGTGACACATAGAGCAAAGTAGACTATCAACAGCTTTCTTCAGAACCATGTTGCAAGGAAGAGACATGGACCAGTTAAAAAGTAACCTAGGGAAATAAGAGATGTCACATTAATGATATAGTTATCTTTTTAAGAAGTCAATCACTGTTTCAAATATTCCTATTAGAGATCAAACATACTGACAAAAACATACCGTTTATAGAAATTTCAAGATTTCTGTCTATACTTTTTTCTCTACAGTTGTATGTTAAATATAAAAGGGCAAGACATAGAAGTTTATTCCTACAATTTCACCTATTTAAGAGGTGGAGACTGGGAGGATTGCAGTTTGAGGCCAGTGTGAGCAAAAAAGCTAGTGAGACTTCACCTCAACAAAACAAGCCAAGATGGAAGTTGTAGGAGGATCAAAGTCTGAGGTCAGCCCCAAGAAAAAAGCAAGACCCTATCTGAAAAATAACTTAAAGAAAAAAAGGGCTGGAAGCATGGCACATGTGGCAGAGTGCCTAATAAGTTCAAGGTACTGAGGTCAAGGCCCAGTACCACAAAAATAAGTAAGTAAAAAAGTAAGTAAATAAGTAAGAAAGTAAGTAAATAAATAAATAAAAGAACTTAATAGGTAATTTTCCATGTGAAAATAAACATAAAGCAATGTAAGAACACCAACACAAAGCATTCTCATTTCAGGTAAGAAAAACAGACAGCACTGCTAAAACATGTTGCACAAAGATGGGCTGGGGGTGTAACCCAGTGGTACAGTGCTCGCCTAGCTTCCCTGAGGACCTGGGTTTAGTCCATAGCATGGCAAAAAAAGAAGGAAAAAAAGAGAGATTATCTCATTTTAAAAGTTCTACTGATTACTTTTACTACTTTCAAAATATTATTCTTATCCAAACAGACCATTTAAAATACTAATTTTAATCAAGTGAAAACTAAAATGATCTAGGAGTGGGGAACAAGAGGCAACTTCATACTTACTCAAAGAGTTCTCGGTCCAGCAGTGCTGGTAAATCATACTCTACGAGCAGTTCGTAACTATGCCACAGAATTGCTGCTACACAGTGCAGGTGAGAAGGTGACGGCATGAGAAGACCATACTCAACTGCTGAAGAGCTAGGGCACACAGAGGTCATCCTGCCACTCCTCTTCATAGCAGCCACTCTTGCAGAATCACTGACCCATTTTAGCAAGGCTTGAATTCTTAAAACAAGAAAGTATATTCCAATATTGCCACAACTGATATTTGATAAAAATACCTTCTTTGCATGTTTGCAAAGGATTTCTGAAAATAATATACTAATTATTCTTGATAATTTTAGCCCAAAACAGGAGGGAAATGGAATTTATAAGGAAGAAGGACATAGTAGTTAGAGTTTTTAAATAACCTTACCAATTTTAATTAATCGAAAGGCTTAAAATAACAATTGTGATTTGCAAATAAGTACTGATTTCTTCATACCCTAATTAAATATGTACATTTCTAGAATTACAGGGTAAACAACAAACTCTCTCCCCTCTATTTCCTCTCATCTTACAGCAAATCTACAGAACCTAGAGCTAATTCTTCACTTTGTAGAATCTGGTGACATACAGCATGTTTTCCATCCTTAGACCCCAAGCTTAAGTAACAGTAGAAGAGACCCACTCTCAGTCATTCAAACAGAATATACCCACAGACACCACCCTACTTCAAACCCCTGAAGCTAGGGATCAAAAACCACAATTCTGCAACACTAGCTGAAAGCAAGAATTTTTTAAAAAGGAGTTTGTATTAAAAAAAGAGAGACAGAGAATTATAGTAAATATCTTAAAAACTGTATTTGTTTCTTTCCTTTCAGGTTTCTGGTTTAGACCACAAGATTATCTGCTTCTCCATAAACAAAATGACAGTAGAAGACATTCAATAGCATTTAATATGTCTTGCCCACCTCCACAAATGGAAGGACTGAAAGACGAAATTTCATTTTTATGCGACAGGAAATAAAGGAAATTCAGAGAAAGGGAAGAAAGATGAGGCAATTAAGAATATAACATATTGTTTGTCCATAAAAGTCAATAATCTTGCTATTACTGTCAGTTCTGAAGGATAAATTTAAATATTCAAATTAAATAATTTGATGACATAATCATTCAAGATTTTAAATAACCTGTACTAGAAAAATATTTAACACTCATTTAAAAAATATATTTTAACTCTATTAACCATTATGATTTAAATTTGACAAAAATTATTTAGTTGGTCAAAACTATTCAAGGCTAGGTATGGAAACATTAGCTTATAAAAGCAGCTACTAGAGATGTGGAGATTGGGATGATACATTTCAAGGTTGGACTTAAGCAAAAACCCAGAGATGCTATCTAAAAAATAGCTAAAGGAAAAACAGGTTGGAGGGCATATCTCAAGTGGTGAGCACCTATCCACCAAGCATGAAGACCTATGTCCAAACACCAGTACTTCCAAAAAACCCTATTCCAATCTATTTTTAAATGTAATATAGTTATTGTAAGGCTTTCTAAATTAAAACATTATAAACTTTCAACCTCTCTTAATGTTAAACAAGCATATTTCACATTTGAAAGATTCTATGATAAAAACAAAATTTTAAAACAAGAAAAAATGAAAAGTGTGAATCAAGAGAAGAAAGAAGTAATTATATAAAAATAAGTGAGTCAGTACTAATGTTTTCTTTCACTGTCTGGCACTCCATTCCATACATGCAAATCTTACACTTTCAATTTGGGTGACTGAAAACTTGATCTCTCTAGTACCTAGTATCCTAGCAGGCATATTATTAATTTTGCTAATAAACACCAAATTAGGTGATTTTAAACATAAGTTGATCACAATAAGGAGACCGGGGATATAGCTCAAGAGCAGAGCACTTGCCGAGCTGAGCCTAATTCAGGAAATAATTTCTAGCACAGGAATTACTTGTATTTTTATAGATTCACTTACTATAAATATGTTCTAATATGGATGATATAAATGGAAAAAAATGCCAAACAGTTGTTCAAAACTATCAAAAATATGTTTTAAGAGGAATTGGATTTCAATAGAAGAGATTAATCTAACTATGACACAATGTAAGCACTTTTGTAAATTTCAACCTTTAGTTGAAATGTTCACACAATATTTAATTGGAATAATATTCTTTCCTCTTGTAGGAAGCATGAAAAAGAAGGTAGAGTCCAATAAGAAGCTGTCAATGAATATTGTTAATAGTAATAATTTAGAACATTATAACAATATCAAAATAAGCCAAGTATCTACAGTGGACACAATAATCCTATATCCAGCACAAGGAGTAAATTGTGCATAGGATAGTACCCATTACCTTACAAGTATCCTATCGTTAAACAGATAACTCTTAAAACTGTGTATTTTATTGCACTCTTTTCCTCAAAAACAGTAAGAATTGGCTAGGAATTCTTTTTGAGTTAGTATCTGCTTATAACAGGTGCAAATATATGAAAATTTATGTTTAATATTCATGAAAATCTGTTAAATATCCACTGTGTAAAGCATATACACAGATGTAAAATATGTAATAGTATTATCTTAAGTTTTATGATCTTCTAGGGAGAATTATAAATTACACTCACGATAGCATTCGCTGTATATGTGCGTGATTAAATGAAAAACAATTATTATATACCTGTCTTTTGTTCCAGGATCCTGAGTTGTACCAAGCTGGTAAAGAATATCTATTGTAGAGTCAGAAGAGAGTCCATTCAGTCTTCCAAAAAGTAAAGGGCTATTCAAATCTTGTAACAAAGAAGGGAAAGAATAAAAAAACCAGGTTTTTACATAAGCATATACACATATACATATATATATGTATATAATATATATAATTACAATTAAGTCTTCTATAAATCCCAATAGGAGGGAAAAAAAACTTGAAACACAATGAAGCAATGAGAGAAATTCATTTTAGAAACAGAGTTAATCACAAAAAACACACAGTTGTGATTTTGTTGTGGATACATAAAAATTAAAATATCAAAGTTAATTGTCACCTGTAGGGTCACTGCCTGATGCTGCACAATTTCTCAGGAGAATGTCTATAAGCTTCAGGCCAATTCTAGTGGACTGTAGTCCTATCTTTACCAGAACAACCTCAATGTTGGGTGAATGCATTCCACAGTATGGTGACATCAATAAGGCAGCACAAGTCTGTAGTAAATTAGCAGTAGGTGCAGCTGCACTGGCCATCATTCCTTCCAGATCACTTATGTGAGTAAGGCAATGATGTAATAATCGTAACCATCCAATACTGAAATATACAACACAAAATTACTTGTATGGTAAATATAAGTAGCTCAAGTTATTTCAGAGGAAAAAGAAACTCTTTAAGGACCAGTATGTTGTGTTTCATAAACAACAATGATCAAACTCAAAAAAAGTTTTAGAATGTTGCAAAATTAAGAAAATTAAACATACAATAAGTCTCCCCGACAATATCACATATGTATGTACTTAAGTGCTCGTATCACTTAGGAACTAGGTGATTGCTTTAAAAAATGATTTTTTAGTTTTGAAATCTACATATATGAATAACAACTAATTAGGAACATAGACTTATAAAACTGAAGTCTTGACATCTTGAGAATAAAACAAGAAATCTGAAATTTTATATCAGGCAAAATTATTTTTAGCCAGGCTGGACTGGATGTGTGGCTCAAGGAGAAGAGCACCTGAATTATAAGTGCAAAGCCTCAGTTCAAACCCCAGCAGCCCTACCAAAAAAATAGTAAATAAATTTTAAAAAAATAAAACCTCTCTGTGAAATGTTCAAGCAGCTAAGAAACATTGATTAACACATATATTTAGGTCTTGACTTATTTGATTCAGATATAATACTTATAAAAGTTGGCATTCAGGAATTGCCATAAATGATTCATTCCCTGTTTTTTGTTTTTGGGTGGTACTGGGGTTTGACCTCAGGGTCTCGCACTTGCTAGGCAGGAGCTGTACCACTTGAGCCACTCAGCCAGCCCTTTTTTTGCTTCACATTTCCAAGATAGGGTCTCACAAACTAATTTAAAGCTCAGTATGACTTTGAACCAACATCGTCCTGATCTCTGCCTTCTGAGGAGCTAAGATTACAGTGTGAGTACCCAACATCTGACTCTTTCTCTGTTTTGATGGTCAGTTTGTAAGATTCAAATTTACCTGTTCTAGTAAGACATGTGGAAATCCCTGTAATACACTATGATCCAAAGAACTGGCACATACAAACATACATACCCCAACGTAGGTCACCTCAAAGATTAAACACATGCATAGAGTGCTTGTCTAGTAATCATGAGGCCCTGAGTTCAAACCACAGTGCCAACCAAATGAAACTATATTATATAAGCACCTGTGGAAGAAAGAACTTCCTAAGTCCTAAAACAGAAAGAAATCACAATATGAATAACTTCCAAAACACCACAGAAAGCATTTTTTTTAAAGAAATGAGAAATAAAACATACCTTGTTTTAGATACCTGATCTTCAGAAGGAAGAAAGGGATTATTGACTGTTGCTGAAGAAGTGGTACCAAAAGCAGTGAGGCCCAATAATTTAATTTGTGAAAGGCCTAATGTGCTGGCATCTCTTGGACGATGTAGTCTAAGGCAGACAGCAGAAGCTACCTCAGCTTTTACAAGCTGAATTTTTATGTAGGTGAGACCACTTGTGACAACAGGAGTGGACAAAGGTAGCATATTTACCCCATCTGCACTTACTTCAACAGATACAGAGGAAGGGCAAGCTATAGGAAGAGAAAATTGAACAATAATATTTTTTAAAAAGTGAATTAGATATCACAGTAATAAAAAAAATCCAAGTAATAAAGCAGTTTTCAGGTACATTCACTATGAACTTTTTTTTTTCCCATTATTGGGGTATGAACTCAGGGCCTCACTTGAGCCACTCCAGCCCTCAATATGAACTTATAAAAACAAACTTTACAGAACAAATCATACTTAATCACTGATTTGCATTATAATTAATTTTAGAGTTACTATCCACCAATAAACATTTAATCTACAGTATAATTTAAAAAAATAATACCTAAACATTGAAATATTCACCTAAAAAGGAATAACTAGGGGGAAGAAGAGGTGGTAGTGCAAACAATGTATACACATGTAAGTAAATGTAAAAATGATAAAATAAAAGCAGAAAAAGAAATGTTAATCTTCAGTAGGCTCGTAATTTTTTAAAAAAGTATGAGTGTATACTGATATATACCCACTTTTAAAAACTTTAAAGGACTAGAAATAGTCCTTTAAAAAATAAAACAAAAGGAATAATTAATGATGTGAAATCTATACACACTTGATACTCCCTAAAGAAAAAGTCGACCAATTAGGGACCTGCTTTAACCAATCCTCATTTACCCAAAATTTTCATAACAACATGGGGAAAAAAAATTAAAAATTGTTTTCTACCAGCACATTATTTCACTACTAAAAAAATACTGCAATGTTTGTTCACCTTGATTGGAAGCTCACAGCTGAGTTTAGAAACTGCTTTCAACTTTAATTTTCTGTTTCTCTTTCAAAACAGAAACAAATGTTTTTAGGATTTTTTAAAAATCAATTCTCCTTAAAACTTAAGGAGCCTATACCATGTGTAGTGGCACTTGCCTGTAATCCCACCACATAGGAGGTAGAGGCAAGAGGATCTTGACTGTGAGACCAGCACAGGCTGCATAGTAAGACCCTGTCTCAAAAAAAATAAAAAGAAATTAAGGAGCCCCAATGAGAAAACATGTAGTACCATACCACTGGAAAATTCACAACATAACCTTAACTGGGTGCCAATTACATGCCAATTACAAGGCAGGAAGATCTTGAGCTTGAGGTCAGGAAAGTATACAGAGCTAGTTCCAGACCAGCCTGGGCTATATAATGAGACCCTGTCTCAAAATCTCAAAAAAAAGTGAGGTGCAGTAGCTCAAACCTGTGATCCCTGCTTCTTGGGAGACAGAGATCAAGATCATAGTTAAAGGCCAGCCTAGGCATAAAATTTCTGAGACTTCATATAAAACAACAAGCCAGGTGTAGTGGCACGTATCTCTCACCATAGCAATATGGGAGGCCATACGCAGAAGGATCAAAGTCTAGAGCCAGCATTAAGCAAAAGAACAAGACCCTAACTAAAAAACAAAATAAAAATAAACTGGAGTGGCTGCAGTGGTACAGCAGCTGTTTGTGAAGTGCAAGGAACTGATTTCAAACCCTAATTCTGCCACTCCATCAACAAAATTTAATTTGACTTTAAAAACACTTAAAGAAAGCATCAGATACATTTTACAAGATCCATCACAGTAATCCAAATTCTCACATGGGCAAATACCACACTGATGTGTGTAAATAAACATAATACATTAGCTTAATGAATCTAGGAGAAAACAAAAAGTCATATAAATGGACTATATTTCTCTGGATTTCATCACAATTCATTTGAGGGTAACAGTCCTGTGATTTCATTTTATGGTTATTTTCCATGTTCAAATTTACTTTACACACTCTGGTGATCACATCTAAGTGCAACACTACTGGCTAAATATTTTTATCATTTTCAAATGGTTTGAATTACAGCTTATTACTCACTTGCAAGAGATGCAAGGTGAGGTTGGATATGTATTTCCTTAAGCAGCACTGCTGCAGGTAGGTGAATGGTAAGGTCGCACCAAGCCTCCTCAGGCAAAAAGATGTAGGACCAAGCAGCAGACCTAGCTCTTCGATGGGGTGCTGTGGACTGCAAAAGCACTTCAGCTGGTTGGGCAGTAGGACTACTAGATGTTATTGTACCTACAGAAAACATTTTAAATAAAATACAAACATGCAAAAATCATGCAATAAAACATTAAGACTATTCAAATGATATTTAAACGATAATTAACTGAAAACATGAACATTTGATTCTGTTACTGTACTTTTAACACCCGAAGTATAATTATTGCAGTATTCACAAAATGGTAGGTCATCTACTCAATTGGCAAGGTTACAAGTTCACTGAACCTATGACAAATGAAAACTAGTGACAACAAATCCAGTACAGTAACTTTCAAATTATTTAACTGGGAAACTATATGCAATACATTCTTCACCTTGAAAATAATAAACTTTATTCTAAGATGTTAGTATTTATGAATTAGAAACATAGAAAAAATAAAAACTGTACAATGCACAAAGGAAAATTATCTAAAATCAAACTTTTAAAAATGATAGTACCACTTAAGAAATGACAAGTCCTAGCATTTAAAGAGAAAACTGATGAGAATTTTTATTTAAACTTATGTTTAAGAATAAATAAACTGTTTATATTTATTTTCATAAACTGTGTTTCTATGTAGACTTGAAATGGAAGAAACTTTTAAAACTTTCCTTCTAATCAACAGAATGCTTTGATATCTACTACCTTTAAAATCATATGTAATTAAAATGGTGATGTCTAGTATTTACACAGGCAAATAATTTGGCTTCATATCAGCTAACAAATTGAATAAATTTATAATAAATAATAACATGTAATAACACTTTGCTTACCCAGGGGTGCAAAGTTATGGATCCCTTCTGCATTGTCAGGTTCAGAAGCTAGTATCCTTGTTTTCAAAGTGCTGTCGACAGCTTTATTTGGACCAGAATCAAGAAATTTCATAATAGTTGATACCATACTTCTTGCAGTGTTCACAATAGCCCTTGTACTAGTAACCATATTGTTGCAAATGAGCTGAACTCCACCTAAAATTACAAAGTATATCATGAAAACAATCTGATACATGATCTGAATGACATTCTCAACTTTCACAGAAAACTACAAAACTGAGCACATAACCTACTATCAATTCCATGACAGTTTTTGAAATCTCATCTTACCCATATCATGGAATGCTTTCAGGGCATCACTAGTATCCAACACTCTCAAAATGAACCACAACAATGGTTCAGATAACTGGCAAGTAGCAAGAGAGCCCTAAAAAACAACAACAAAAAAGTATATTGTGATTTTGTATCTTCCTGTGAAGTGCATAATCTATACCTCTTAGTGCATGTAATATTCCTACAGTTAATTTTCATAAATTGATGGCTTTAAGCAAAGAATGAACAAACTGTCTTTCCAAATCCACAAGAGATCTTATCTGAATCAGAGAAAGGAAGATAGTTATCTTCCCTCTCTGAATCCAGAGGATACATCAAGTAGCTAACTTCACCTACAATTATCATGTGAATTTATCTTATGTAAGAAATACGCAAGCATTCAATAAATGTTTAAGAAAATAACATTTTTTCCCCAAGTACAGGAACTGAACCCAAGACCTCACCTGTACTAGGCTAGCGTGCTACGCTTGAACTAATCTCCCAGACCAAGAAAATGACATTTATACATTAACATATAAGACTCCATAAAAAACTATCTTAAAATATTCACTTGATAACTGGTAAATGGGCTAGATGGTAAGATAAAACTGGTTCCTAAAATTTGACTTTTCAAATCTAATCTATTTTGCTTTTGAAAATTTTGCTAATCCCTTTTAAGTAAAAAGAAACTAAACACGCAACATAAATTTGGAAAACTACCAATATTAGATTTTCTTATGTAAACATCTATGGTAAACATCTTGGTATTTAACTATGCTATTGTTAGGGAAAATAATAAGGGACTATGAAATCTAAAATTTATGAGTATTATATTCCTTTTCTCCCTGTGATCATCTTTGAAAATACCACTTTATGAAACTTCATTCTCCAACTTCTATTAATAATTCAGTCCTCATTTACTGATATTTTTTACTTTCTAATACATGGTATGAGTGCTCTGATTTGTCTCTTTCCTATATATAAATCTCTACTTGCATTACCAGAAAACTATTTAAGTTAATGAGCTGTTGCTGGACTGAACTTACTTGTCTACCCATATACCCACAGGCCATGTAGGTTAAAATTGGCTGCAGCATCATGTGGACTGTAGAAGCTTTCTTACTAAGTGTTGTCAGAATGGTAAACAGTCCATCCCCGACTGAGATGGCATCTAACCCACCATGAAAGTTTTCATGTTTGGTGAGATGTAATCCACTTGCACCTAGTTCAAATAAAAAATTAATTTTTTTAAAAAAAAGCATATCCATAAAAATGTGTTATAATTAAAATAGTCTTAAAAGTTACCTTTTCCCAAACCACTGAAGGATATTGGATACATAATAGTTACATACTCACACATGTGCACACAAATCACTAAAATCTGTGGAAATCTTACATGAGATACCTCTAAACTTGGCTATAATAAAAAGAAACTACTCTGGCACATGACAAAGAGAACATCACTGTACGTACTAGCTTTATGTCAAGAAGAAAACGAAGAGAAACACAAGCAACATTATCGTGTAATTACGCAACATAACATCTCATCAAAATGAAGATATGTTCACAAAGAAAAAAATATCAACAAGCAAAAATATATCAAGACATACTTTTGTAAAACTACTCAGACATACAACTGTTTAAAAAATGTATTCACTTCCAAACAGGTGGAACAATTAAACAACAGTACATAAACTTCACACTGAAAAAATGTGCCATAGAATTGCAAATGTGAATAAATAAATATTACTGGGCTCTAATACAAAATTTGCTTTTGAATTTTTCATTTAGAAATTCTTAGAGGGGTTTTAGCTAAAAGTAATTTTGATAGTATTTCCCAGCATTATTGAACCTAACACATAAAACTTTTCAATACGTCGCACTTTCTTTTAAGTGAAGCCACTCAAAAGCATTAATCGTAATTAGAGTAAAAAAGAAAGCAGGTATAATAACAAACAAGAATAAGATTTTTATTCTCTCTACATACCAATTATCATTGCCATAGCGCTGCTATTACAGAGGCCGAGAGCAGACAAAATCTGGCTCATGATCTGCTGGTTGGCTAGGACTAAGTCAGCGACATATGCAGGAGATCCTGGAATACTAGTACTGCTTCCATTGACATCCTTGCCTCCTGAGACTTTTTCTTCATCTGAAACACTATCAGTTGTATTGGTAGTCACAGACACTCTTGCACTGTATTCCCTATTGCCTGAAAGAGGTAGCTGTACTAAAATATTGACAAGTTTTAACAAGTCAAACATGAGTTGATCTCTCGTCATTTCACCACAAACTGCTTTTGCATCACCAGGACGAATGAGATTGGCAAAGAGTCCACCAAAGCATGCTCGAGCACCCACGGAGCTATCTGATCCACTTCTAGACATTACTTTGTCTGAGCAAGTGATATAGTGGTGCACCAAGAAGGTGACAGATTCTATCACAGCAGAAATAGTACTAACTGAAACAACTTCAAAATTCTGCTCCAGAGTGAATTCTAACAGCTTCACTTGGGCATCAAGAGGTCCTTGGCCTGTCTGGAAGGCACCCCTGCAGAAAGAGAGGATTAAAATTTAAACAACTTTAGGAAGTTTTGAAAGAAGCAGTTACCATAAAACAAGGTAAAGACTAATTAAACTCTTGATATTCATTATTTTATTAGGTAGCTGTGCTTCCATCTCTTTCTGAGCAAGTTCTTGCCTCCATTTTATATGAAACCTGAAATAACTTTTATTCCACATAGAAAACTAAGGGGATAAGGAAATCAAGTAAATGATTTCTCAAGCTACAGACAAAAATATGTCAGTATCATAAGTCACTTTTAATACTGGAATGACCTAATGACCTCTTGTTTATTACAACCTTAAGTGTTGTTATTGTATGTATTCCCTTACTCATTTGCTTCACAAAAATTAAGATTTAATCAAATCATTTTTGCATATTAAAATAAAACACTCTCCAGTTCTGTTCATACCGAAGACAGAGAAAACTAGAAAAAGCATCACTCTCAGCCTCACAATAAAAAAGTCAAATCATCTCCAAAGCCATGACTTTTCTTGAACTCTGACAGAGCTGAAGTCACAGGGCAACCAAAAATCCTCAAACCCACGGGAA